CAAGGTTGTCATTACGACGTCCTGATATCGTCTCATGCAGGTTATTCCATGACGTTGCTATTAAGTTGCCAAAAGCACATTGTCATAACGTTGTAATGTGGTATTTTGAAGTGTTGCTGTAATGTTTTAATCTTGACGTTGTGATGACGTTGAAATGTGGGTGGTTTCATAACGTTGTCGAAATGTTACCTGTTTTTACGTTACTATGACGTATAGTGCCTAGGTATTTCCAGAACGTTGTCGTTATGTTGGATTTTGGCGTTGTGATTACGTTGTACAAAGGTATTTTCATAATGATGCTTTTAAGGGTTATGGGTTGTCATTACGTTGTGGGTTGGTATTTTCTCAGTTTGTGACCCTCTGAAAGGGTGTTATAAATAATGGGATGTGCTATCCCAGTAATTAAACAAAGTTGTCATGACATAGCCATATCGGTAGATATATACAGTTTTCTCATATAGACATTATGTAGGCCTACATTCTAAAATGCATATTACTTATTGAATCAGGTTAATTGTTTTCATTTCATTGCGAGGTTTATGATTGAGCGAGGTGACTGAGTGATGGTAATTATTTTTTGGAAATAAATGAAATGCTGTATGATTGGGATGTAATGAAAAGGAACGCCTTGATGAGTCCCACCCAACAAAGTATTTTCTGTCTCTCGGTGTGTTGGTCTATCTCAGTCAGGCCCATCGTGGCTAATATTTAAGCATAAGTTGACCCGGTCATATGAAACTGATCACCAAAAGTGGAGCAACCCAGGGACAAGTTAATGCAATCCAGCGGGTGGCACTACTGGTTGTGGTTTGGAGTGGACCGTTGTAATTTAAGCGCTACATATTGAAATAGATTTTTTTTAAACAGTATTTATACTAAACAAAGACTTTTGCGTAGTTTCAAACTGTCTTCTCTCAGTTGTCTAAATATCGGTACATGTGGATGTAAAAGGGGTTTATGTACAAACCCATCTTTGAAAGTGGAGCATCCTGGAGACTGGAGAAAGCCAGTTAGTGGTGACCTTGGTGGTGGTTTTGACCGTTGGAATTTAAGCGGTACCCATTCCATCTACAGCCACCAAGTCAACCAAACCTACTGCGCTTCGCCAAATCTAGCTTCTCTCTTCAGGTAAGACAAAATAACCTTTATTTATGATTTTGATAAGTACGTAGATCGGGTGATTCCGATGATAATATGATATACTCAGTTTATAAGTTGATTATTATTGTGTACCGGTACCCTAACTATACGGGAAAACGTTAGTTTGCATTTTTTGTTGTCAGGTCAGTTTTATCGATAGTGTCAGAACTTTTGGTAGTCACAGTGTGTGATAAGTGGTCTCCCAACTCTTTGAATATTATCTTGAGTTAAGGTCTTTCACGCTTGATTTATCGCTTGTATGTGTGAAATATATTTTTGCATCGTATTGCATTTGATCGAAGAAAGCTTATTTTATGTGTAGTATTTTTGATCACTTTGTATTTATAAATTATTTTTTTGGCTGAGAATTTTGGAGCAACAATTAATGACCGTAGGTAGGACAGCCAAGAGCCTTGGTAGCATTGCCATTGTTTGTGTCCTTTCTCCATGGTATAACTTGATCTTTGTGGCTAGTATGTCAGTTCCTGCTTTTTTACAGGCAAGTTCCAGGCTTATGAGTTACTGTAATGGTTAAAATGATTGGCTCTGAGGCTGAACCGACTTTGTCCTTTTGATCAGAGAATTTACACGCGAGCATGAAGCAGATATTTACATGGGAGACGGCGGTACGTGAGGCATAATATTATAACTGCTACAATCTTTTAACTTTCGTATTTCACAGAAATATTTGGTAAAAGGGACGCAAATTCAATGTTTAAATGGTTTATTGAGTATAGTCTGTGCATATAAGGTATATCTTCTGGCCATTTTTTCAAGACAATTTTTTTCTTTATTCAGTATGCTTGTTCCT